GGGCACACAGTGGTAGGTGGACACTAAGGGACTATGGAGCCCACTGGAGACCCAAAGAGATATGGAACAATGGGAGATGACTCCACCCAGGAGGCTCCACCTATAATTCCTCCTCTGCACCCTGCTCTCCAATGAACTCTGAGTGACATATTTGTAATATTCATTCTTTGCTGATTAGACTTTCACCGTGTTGGAAACATACCAAAAATATTTTCTTCATCCCTCTGTAAACATTGTGCAACCCTGGCATCTACAGCAAACGCGGAGGGAGAACATAGAGAGCCAACGGGGCGATGAGAACGAATTCTACACTGACACTGTTTATAATGACTGCATAATATAATATCTTCCCCAGAGCGACCAATCAGGATTCAGCATCTGGGAGATGCAGCTCGGATTCTCATTGGCTGCTGTGGAAAGTTGTCCGGCTGATATCACAGCAAAGGCTTCTCATTTCCCACAATAACCAGGCAGATTTCGGCTCTCAATTCTCAAGATCAAATTAAAAAAAAAAAATGAATGCAAGCATCTGATTGGCTGATATGGCCAAACAATTTCCTGCTCTTTGATTTATATAGAAGTGGTTATTGTCTATTGGGAGGTCTGTGAGCGGATCGAAGGGAGATCTCACCACTGGAGCCCCAGCAGGATTGAAGAATTCATTTAGGGGAGTACTGTCACTTTAACACAGGATTGGACCTATTTTTTGCAGAATTCAGGAACCGGTCAGGACGGACCGAAAGCTGATGGACATGTGATCTCATTGATAACACTGAAAAGAGTGTTGGGGGTCGCCCATTTTGGCTCCTAGCTATCTCTGGGGATTTGTTTTTGTAGTAGTTTAGTAGTTACATGAAATACGGCTTCCGCCCCCCAACATTCCACCGAAACCACCCTACTCAAAATCACTAACGACCTGCTATCCGCCAAAGCTAATGGCCACTACTCAGTCCTCTTACTCCTCCACCTCTCCGCGGCCTTCGACACAGTTGACCACCCCCTCCTCCTTAACAAAGTACACTCCCTCGGCATCAGAGACTCCGCTCTCTCCTGGCTCTCCTCCTATCTATCCCAACGCTCCTTCTGCGTTACCTATAATGCTACCACCTCCCCCCTCTCTCCCCCTCTCTGTTGAGGTCCGTCCTCGGGCCCCTTCTCTTCTCCATCTACACCTCCAACCTCTGCAAACTGATACACTCCCACGGCTTCAACTACCACCTCTACGCCGATGACATGCAAATTTACCTCTCAACCCCCCACCTCACCCCTTCAGTCTCCACCCGTATCACCCACCTACTGAACGACATATCAGATTGGATGTCGCTCCATTTCCTCAAACTCAACCTTTCCAAAACCGAGCTCCTAATCTTCCCCCCTGCCTGCACCCCCCCCCCCCCCACCCTCTCCATCACGACCAACAACGCCACCATCAGTCCCACCACACAATCAAGGTCCTAGGTGTCATCCTAGACTCAGACCTGTCCTTCCAACCCCATGTCCAATCGCTGACTACCGCATGCAGGCTCCACCTCCGCAACATCTCCAAAATACGTTCGTTCCTCACCCCAGACACCACTAAACTACTCGTTCACTCCCTCATTATCTCACGCCTGGACTACTGCAACTCCCTCCTCACCGGCCTACCCCAACGCAAGCTATCCCCGCTCCAGTCTATCCTGAACTCAGCTGCCAGACTCATCCACCTCACCAACCGCTCCGCTTCCACCACCCCCCTCTGTCATCCCCTCCACTGGCTTCCGATTGCCCAACGCATCAAATTCAAACTACTAACACAGACATACAAAGCCATTCACAACACTGCCCCAAACTACCTCACCGACCTGATACCAAAATACCACCCAACATGTACTCTTCGCTCCTCACAAGACCTCCTACTCTCTAGCTCCCTGGTCTCCTCCTCCCATGCCCGACTGGAGGACTTCTCCAGAGCTTCCCCCATCCTCTGGAACTCACTTCCCCAATCCATCAGATTGTCCCCTACCCTCCTCACCTTTAGGCGCACCCTGAAAACCCATCTCTTCAGGGAAGCCAACCCCACCCTCACCGAACAGCTGATCCCCTCCACTCCTCACTCCATTCCATCCCTCACAGCCATCTCCTCCTGTATCACCATCCCCTCCTTCATAGACTGTAAGCTCGAAAGGGCAGGGCCCTCTAACCCTCGTGTATCGTGTATTGTTTTGCTACTATATTGTCTCATGTCTTGTCCCCCATTCTAATGTACAGCGCTGAGCAAACCCTTTGGCGCTATATAAATACTCTATAATAATAATAATACGGAACAGCAAAAACTTGATCCTCCATTGTAGCACCAACCATCAGGCAGATCACACACTATATTGCCGAAAGTATTGGCCCCGCCCTCCAAATCATGTGATTCAGGTGTTCCAATCCCCTCCCAATCATGTGATTCAGGTGTTCCAATCCCCTCCATATCATGTGATTCAGGTGTTCCAATCCCCTCCATGGACACAGGTGTATACAATCCATCCCCTAGGCATGCAGACGGCTTCTACAAACATTGGTGAAAGAATGGGTCGCTCTCAGGAGCTCAGTGACTCCAAGCGTGGTCCCGTGATAGGTGGCCACCTGTGCAATAAGTCCATCCGTGACATTTCCTGGCTACTAAATATTCCACGCTCAACTGTTAGTGGGATTATAACAAAGTGGAAGCAACTGGGAACAACAGCCACTCAGCCACCAAGTGGTAGGCCACGTCACATGACAGGGCGGGGTCAGCGCATGCTGAAGCGCACAGTGCGCAGAAGTCACCAACTGTCTGCAGAGTCAATAGCTAAAGACCTCCAAACTTGGTGTGGCCTTCAAATGAGCCCAACAACAGTGCGTAGAGAGCTCCATGGAATGGGTTTCCATGGCCGAGCAGCTGCATCCAAGCATTACATCACCAAGTGCAATGCAAAGTGTCGGATGCCGTGGTGTAAAGCACGCCGCCACTGGACTCTAGAGCAGTGTAGACGTGTTCTCTGGAGTGACCAATCACGCTTCTCTGTCTGACAATCCGATGGACGTGTCTGGGTTTTGGCGGTAGCCAGGAGAACGGTACTTGCCTGACTGCATTGTGCCAAGTGTAAAGTTTGGTGGAGGGGGGATTATGGTGTGGGGTTGTTTTTCAGGGGTTGGGCTTGCCCCCTAGTTCCAGTGAAGGGAACGCTTAAGGTGACATTTTGGACAGTTTCATGCTCCCAACTTTGTGGGAAGAGTTTGGGGATGGCCCCTTCCTGTTCCAACATGACTGCCCACCAGTGCACAAAGCAAGGTCCATAAAGACATGGAGGAGCCAGTTTGGGGTGGAGGAACTTGACTGTCCTGCACAGAGTCCTGACCTCAACCCCATAGAACACCTTTGGGATGAATTAGAGCAGAGACTGCGAGCCAGGCCTCCTCCCCCGACATCAGTGCCTGACCTGACAAATGTGCTTCTGGAAGAATGGTCCAACCTTCCCATAGACACCCTCCTAAACCTTGTGGACGGCCTTCCCAGAAGAGTTGAAGCTGTTATAGCTGCAAAGGGCGGGGCCAACTCAATTTGAACCCTACGGACTAAGACTGGGGGGGCCATTAAAGGTCATGTGTGTGGAAAGGGCGGGGCCAACTCAATATTGAACGCTACGGACTAAGACTGGGGGGCCATTGAAGGTCATGTGTGTGGAAAGGGCGGGGCCAACTCAATATTGAACCCTACGGACTAAGACTGGGGGGCCATTAAAGGTCATGTGTGTGGAAAGGGTGGGGCCAACTCAATATTGAACCCTACGGACTAAGACTGGGTGGTCATTAAAGGTCATGTGTGTGTGGAAAGGGCGGGGCCAACTCAATATTGAAACGGACTAAGACTGGGGGGCCAGTGAAGGTCATGTGTGGGGAAAGGGCGGGCCAACTCAATATTGAACCCTACGGACTAAGACTGGGGGGCCATTAAAGGTCATGTGCGTGGGCCAACTCAATATTGAACCCTACGGACTAAGACTGGGGGCCATTAAGGGTCATGTGTGTGGAAAGGGCGGGGCCAACTCAATATTGAACCCTACGGACTAAGACTGGGGGGGCCATTAAAGGTCATGTGTGTGGAAGGCCGGCCGATCAATAGTTTTGGAAATATAGTGTAGATGTCTCTGCAATGGACTGGCATGGGAACAGCACTGCATTCAGCTGTCTTAGAAGAAGCATGTGAGTGTGTAGGAGCGCCTCATAGAATGGAACCTCGGGGCTTCCTATTTATTAACCTTTGGGGGTGACAGGGGTGTGAGCGGAATTTGCTGTAGTCTGTAGTCCGGCACAAGGACTAGGACAGCAGGACGTGTGTAGAGGACACGGGACAGCTCTGAATTGCTGACAATTATCAAACAGATAGAAAACACTCTCTAGCAGACTGAAAGGATAGGTTGGGGTTTTAGGGATTACATACATTTTAAAGCTGCTTATATGCCACTTTCCTGGTGTCCCCCTTTACCCCTCATCAATAAATTGAATTTAGAACCAGTGATGTCATTGCTGGGTGTCTGTGCTTCTCTATGCAATACAGGCAGATGGTGGCTGGTGGGAGGGACCAGCAGGGTGCAGTACAGAGCTTCCTGAAAACATCACAGAACCCTGCTTCAGTACTCTTCTCAGGAACTCTCAGTCCAGGTGCAAGCAGTGGGAGGAGTTATGCAAAGTTATGCAAATATTTAAGAAATGACTGGGTGGGTGTCAGCCTGGAGTTGTGGGCGTATCCCAGGCTGGCTGTGTTTGTATAAGTAATGAGGTTGAGCCTCCATGATTGAAGGAACTAACTAAAATCCGACGAATGACAGGGGCGGGGCCAGGGACTGTCAGGCCGGGGAGGAAAGTGATTGATGATGCTGGACGTACTCCAGCCAGGAAATGAGGCGGAGCTCTGTCTGATTTACTGCAGCTTCTAATGCACATTGTGAGAAGCTCACAGTGTGCGGTGACATCAGAGGAAGCCATTCTAGTCCAGGAGAGGAGCCGGTACACCTGTGCAAGACTGGAGGGGAGGGGCCGGTACACCTGTGCAAGACTGAAGGGGAGGAGCCGGTACACCTGTGCAAGACTGGAGGGGAGGGGCCGGTACACCAAGACCTGTGCAAGACTGAAGGGGAGGAGCCGGTACACCTGTGCAAGACTGAAGGGGAGGAGCAAGTACACCTGTGCAAGACTGAAGGGGAGGAGCTGCTACACCTGTGCAAGGCTGAAGGGGAGGAGCAAGTACACCTGTGCAAGACTGAAGGGGAGGAGCTGCTACACCTGTGCAAGACTGAAGGGGAGGAGCCGGTACACCTGTGCAAGACTGAAGGGGAGGAAGCCGATACACCTGTGCAAGACTGAAGAGGAGGAGCCGGTACACCTGTGCAAGAAAGAATGGGAGGAGCCAGTACACCTGTGCAAGACTGAAGGGGAGGAGCTGCTACACCTGTGCAAGACTGAAGGGGAGGAGCCAGTGCACCTGTGCAAGACTGAAAGGGAGGAACTACTACACCAGTGCAAGACTGAAGGGGAGGAGCTGCTACACCTGTGCAAGACTGAAGGGGAGGAGCCGGTACACCTGTGCAAGACTGGAGGGGAGGAGCTGGTACACCTGTGCAAGAGACTGAAGGGGAGGAGTCGGTACACCTGCGCAAGACTGGTGGGGGAGGAGCCAGTGCAGCTGTGCAAGACTGATGGGGAGGAGCGGTACACCTGTGCAAGACTGAAGGGGAGGAGCCGGTACACCTGTGCAAGACTGGATGGGGAGGAGCCGGTACACCTGTGCAAGACTGAAAGGGAGGATTTAAGGCTGTATTCATCCCTTATGTGCGTTCATAGTAATGATTGTCATCCATGGGCCGTGTAAGACGTGTTGATCCATGAAACAAAAAACAGGGCACGGCACATCAACGCATGACACGGGTGAGAACAGCGCCGTCCAATACAATGCCTTCTGTGTGCGTGCAATGACGTGTAATCCGCATCTCATAGGTGGGAATAAATCCTTCAATCTCCGAGGATCTCCTACAATATATCAAGTGTAAGTACAGCCAGGGGGGGTTCATATATATATTGTATATAAAGGAGGAAATAGTAATGTCAGCTGTCAGGTTGGGGAGATTTCCCTTCACTTCCTGTTCCCAAAGCAGAAAATGAAAGAAGATCATTTCAAAGCAAGAGGATGTCCCCCCCCCCCCAGGGAGTTGTCACCAGAATAAGTGTCCCCATGGTAAGATCTCCCCTCACCTCCTGTCCCGGGACAACTCAGAAAGGCCACTTCCAGTACCAGAGACTGGACGAGGTAATCTAGAGTAAAGGGCAAACATGCCAAAGTGCCCCCCCCCCCAAGACCCCAAGATGTATGAGCATTATGTGTCAGTGAAAATCCACCCCCCCCCAAAAAAAAAAGCAAGCAGTAATTTGCATGCTTACCCCCTATGCATAAATTCATAAATCCCCCCTGATGGAATCCCCCCTCCCAGCACAAATCTTTGCACCCCCCCCCCCCCCATCTTCCCTAGTTCAAATCCTCCTCCCCATATGTCTCCAGCACAAGTCCCTCCCACACCAAAAAAAATCCCCCCTTCCAGCACAAATCTTTGTCCCCCCCCCGGCCATCTTCCCTAGTTCAAATCCTCCTTCTCCCAATACGTCCCCTGCACAAGTCCCTCCCGTGCAAAAAAAAAATCCCCCGTCCAAGAAAACATCCTTTCCATTCACTCCAAATCCCTCCAACCCATTCCAGCACAAAAGTCCCCTCCCCCAATCCCCCATCCTAGCACAAATCTCCCCCACCACCACAAATTTCCCTCCTAGCAAAAATACCCCTCAATCAACCCTGCTAGCACAAATCCCTCCCCCCCCAAAAAAAGTCCCCTCTCAGCATAAATCCCCCCCAACATACTACTTTTATAGCACAAAAACCCCTTCCTAGCACAGAGCCTCTTTCCTTATCCCCCCTCCCAACACAAATCCCCCCTCCTAGCACAAATCCTCTTTATCCCCATACTGAATGCCCCCAGCACAAGTCCTTCCCACACCACAAAAAAACTCCCCCTCTAAGCACAAATCCTTTCCCCTCACTTTAAACCCCCCCCCCCTTTCCCGTACAAAATTCCCCTCCAGCAATTCCCCCTCTCAGCATGAACCTTCCCCCCCCCACCACAACATATTTCCCCTCCTAGCACAAATACCCCTCAATCAACCCTACTAGCACAAATTCCCCCCCAAAAAAAATATTTCCCCTCCTTACACAGATTCCCCCTCCTCAACATATTACATTCATAGCCCAAATCCCCCCTCCTAGCACAAATCCTCTTTCCCTATCCCCCCTCCCAACACAAATCCCTCTCCTAGCATAAATCCTCTTTCCCTATCCCCCCTCCCAACACAAATCCCCTCCTACCACCAAATCCCGTTTCCCTATCCCCCCTACCAACACAAATCCCCCTCCTAGCACAAATCCTCTTTCCCTATACACTGGAAGTTTTGGAAAATTGTTGGTCTACCTCCAGAGGAAATCGACCTCGGCGTACATTTTCGGCAGTACTGGGACAGGTTCCTCCAGTGCCCAGGGCCAGGAGGCGGAACTGCGCCCCCCTCCCCTGATGCTAATGCATGACATTGAATGGATAGACCACCCAACACCGCCCCCCTTGCTCCATCTATCCATGGGTGACACCGTATACTGCACATCCATGGCCAAGGTAGGTAGATGCCCATGCATGGTGTGATTTCCATGTCAGCCGTGGGTGGGTAGGGTGGTAGAGAGGGCATCCTGGAGTCTGGTGTGACAGCAGATCGGGAGCGTGCCCCCTCTCTACCACTATGCCCTGGGCGACTGCCCCTCTTGCCCACCCCTTGTCCCCGCCCTTCTGTCATTTGTCTCATGAAGACATTGGCCGTACAAGGATCAAAGTTCCGCCGGTTCAGCAGAGGCTGATGGATGGATTTGATCCATGCGTGGCCACTGCGGTCAGACAGAGGTCAATCAACCGCCCTGTTGGTAGTTTTGTGTCGATCAGCGCTGCAGGCAATAGGCTGCAGCACTGATCTGTGTATCCTGACGGAGTGGAAGTCTCCCTGCTGTCAGGTTGCAAGGATTCCCCCACCCGCCTCGAATGTGTGGATGGGGAAGTCGGGTCAGTTTTTTTTTTTCATTCAACCTGCTGGTTCAACGAGAGAAAAAAAAAAACGGACTCGTGTACGGCCACCCCTCTGATAGGTGACAACGCACAGGACACCAAAACTTGGACAGGGAAATGTGAACGCTGCCTCTCCCTCCTCTCCATAGAGGCGTGACCTAGAAAATCCTTCCATAGAAAAGGAAATCCCAATACAGACAGACGGACGGATCGCTTGTCAGGTGACAGTTATTCTGCATTGACCGCACTATACACAACAAAACGACAACCAATATTTACTAAACAATAGTGTACAATACACAGTACAATCGTCATGTGACCCGGAGGAGGCCAAACCAAGCAATGCCAACACAATGAGATACCTCTGGGCCGGGGGGGGGGGGGGGGGGGCAGAGGGGGCGCAACCACACTGGAGGGCACATGGGAAGCTACAGGGTGGGAGACACATGGTTATTGGGGGGACTGGGGAGTGGGCACACACTATACAAGGAGAGGGAACAGGGGAGTGGGCACACACTATACAAAGAGAGGACACTGGGGAGCGGGCACACACTATACAAAGAGAGGGCACTGGGGAGCGGGCACACACTATACAAAGAGAGGGCACTGGGGAGCGGGCACACACTATACAAAGAGAGGGCACTGGGGAGCGGGCACACACTATACAAGGAGAGGACACTGGGGTGCGGGCACACACTATACAAAGAGAGGGCACTGGGGAGCGGGCACACACTATACAAAGAGAGGGCACTGGGGAGCGGGCACACACTATACAAAGAGAGGGCACTGGGGAGCGGGCACACACTATACAAGGAGAGGGCACTGGGGAGCGGGCACACACTATACAAAGAGAGAGGGCACTGGGGAGCGGGCACACACTATACAAGGAGAGGGCACTGGGGAGCAGGCACACACTATACAAGGAGAGGGCACTGGGGAGCGGGCACACACTATACAAGGAGAGGGCACTGGGGGGTAGCGGGCACACACTATACAAGGAGAGGGCACTGGGGAGCGGGCACACACTATACAAAGACAGGGCACTGGGGAGCGGGCACACACTATACAAAGAGAGGACACTGGGGTTGGGCACACACTATACAAGGAGAGGGCACAGGGGAGCGGGCACACACTATACAAAGGGAGGGCACTGGGGAGGAGGGGCACACACTTTACAAAGAGAGGGCACTGGGGAGTGGGCACACACTATACAAAGAGAGGGCACTGGGGAGTGGGCACACACTATACAAAGAGAGGGCACTGGGGAGTGGGCACACACTATACAAAGAGAGGGCACTGGGGAGCGGGCACACACTATACAAAGAGAGGGCACTGGGGAGCGGGCACACACTATACAAAGAGAGGGCACTGGGGAGCGGGCACACACTATACAAGGCACTGGGGAGGGCACAGGGGAGGGTGGGGAGTGGGCACACACTATACAAAGAGAGGGCACTGGGGAGCGGGCACACACTATACAAAGAGAGGACACTGTGGGTTGGGCACACACTATACAAGGAGAGGGCACAGGGGAGCGGGCACACACTATACAAAGGGAGGACACTGGGGAGTGGGCACACACTATACAAAGGGAGGACACTGGGGAGCGGGCACACACTTTACAAAGAGAGGGCACAGGGGAGTGGGCACACACTATACAAAGGAGAGGGCACTGGGGAGTGGGCACACACTATACAAGGAGAGGGCACAGGGGGGAGTGGGCACACACTATACAAGGAGAGGGCACTGGGGAGCGGGCACACACTATACAAAGAGAGGACACTGGGGAGTGGGCACACACTATACAAGAGAGGGCACTGGGGAGTGGGCACACACTATACAAAGAGAGGACACTGGGGAGCGGGCACACACTATACAAAGAGAGGGCACTGGGGAGTGGGCACACACTATACAAAGAGAGGGCACTGGGGAGCGGGCACACACTATACAAAGAGAGGGCACTGGGGAGTGGGCACACACTATACAAGGAGAGGGCACTGGGGAGCGGGCACACACTATACAAAGAGAGGGCACAGGGGAGTGGGCACACACTATACAAGGAGAGGGCACTGGGGAGCGGGCACACACTATACAAGGAGAGGACACTGGGGAGAGGGCACACACTATATACAAGGAGAGGGCACTGGGGAGAGGGCACACACTATACAAGGAGAGGGCACTGGGGAGAGGGCACATACACATTAGAAAGGGGGAAGGGTGGGTAGTAATGAGCACACTATACTAATGAGAATGGTAGAGTGGGTAGTGCTGGACACAAACATTAGGAAAAGTGGGCAGTAGGATGGGTAGTACAGGACATGCACATTACAGAGGGCAGTAGGGGGTGGTACAGGGCATGCACATTACAGAGGGCAGTAGGATGGGTAGTACAGGGCATGCACATTACAGAGGGCAGTAGGACGGGTAGTACAGGACATGCACATTACAGAGGGCAGTAGGATGGGTGGTACAGGACATGCACATTACAGAGGGCAGTAGGATGGGTGGTACAGGACATGCACATTACAGAGGGCAGTAGGATGGGTAGTACTGGCATGCACATTACAGAGGGCAGTAGGATGGGTAGTACAGGACATGCACATTACAGAGGGCAGTAGGATGGGTAGTACTGGCATGCACATTACAGAGGGCAGTAGGATGGGTAGTACAGGACATGCACATTACAGAGGGCAGTAGGATGGGTAGTACTGGCATGCACATTACAGAGGGCAGTAGGATGGGTAGTACA